GGGCACCTGTCAGTGGGGGAGCAGGCATGTCAGTGGGGGGGGATGTGGGGGCGGGCATGTCAGTGGGGGGGGGGGCACGTCAGGCGGCGGGGCGGGCGGGCACTGCAGCCGGGTGGGGGGGTGGCACTGTCATGGGGGCTGCGGCCACTGTCAGCGGGCGGAGGGGGGCGTGACTGTCAGTGGCGGGGCGGGCACTGTGGGGGGCGGGGCGGCGCACTGTCCAGGGGGGCGGGCACCTGTCAGCGGCGGGGGGCGGGGCGGCACTGTCAGCGGGGTGGGGGGGTGGGCACTGTCAGCAGGTGGGGCGGCACTGCAGGGGCGGGGGGGAGGCACTGTCATGGGGGGGCGCCATGTTCAGCGGGCCGAGGGGGGGCGGCAGTCATCGCGCGGGCCACTGTCAGCGGGCCGGCACTGTCAGCGGCTGGGGCGCACTGTCAGCGGCGCGGGGCGGGCGGGGCCGGCCCTGTCAGGGGGAGCGGGCACTGTCATGGGGGGGCACTGTCAGACGGGGGCGGGGGCGGGCACTGTCATGGGGGGGCACTGTCAGCGGGCGGGGTGGCAGCTGCAGTTAGAGACAGGACAAGGGATCTGCTTCCAATTTTCCCGTGTGTTCATTACGTTCGGCTCAGGCTAGTAGAATTTATCATCCCGCGGACACAGAACTTTTTATTAATGGCCTCATCAAATAGCAGGGGCCAAAGAGTCTGAAAAAGTCCCATTATTTATGGCTGGTGGAAGAGGCGCTAGGCGTGTTCAATACGGAATCACTTTACAGCTGGAAGCCGAGGCCGTGTGGGATTTTTGCATTCAGTGGGCGGAAGGGATAGGAAAGCTGCGTCCACAAGAAAGTTTCCAATGCCATGTGCACAAAGGCTAGTGGGGAAGTGATTTTTCCCAAAAGAGAACTTTTCCTAAAGTGGAAGGGCACAATCTGAGAAATGGCAAAGAAGGTCAAAGCAGGTGGGACAAAGGCCAAGCACTTTGAAATGAAAAAGAAGGTATAATTTTGGGGCCAGATGGTTGCAAAAAAGGAAAAATAACAATCAGAGGTTTTGTTGAAAAGAAAGAAATACGAAAAAAATGTAAGATAGTGTTTGACATAAGGATTTTGATACAGGAAAATATTAAAGGGTAAATGTTTACTCAGAAGAGAAATGAAATAAAATCAAGAAGGATGGAAAGAGAAATGCTGAAGAGATTTTTGTAAGTGATTCAGTTGAGGGGAACTATGGGGTTTGTTAGAAGTAGGAAGGAGCTATAACAGACTATATAATTTTTTTTTATCTGCAAAGAAAAAGAAAAGAAAGCTATTTGAGTCTAAAGTAAGTTAAAACATGCTTTGACTCATTCTATATAAAGGTAGGTATTACTATTATAGAATATTAGTTGGACTTTTTATAATGAAGAACAATTGATCTGAGATTTAAGAGTAAGATCAAATAATCTGAAATAAAAATTAGGGTTGACTGTAAAGGTATCAGTTGATAGTACTTAGTCAAAAATTCTTGTTCCCTCTGAGCAATCGCAGTGAAATGACTACAGAGTTTACTAGCTTCCTACTGGTCTCTGGCTGACCAGCTGTTGCTGGCTTGAAATAAAGAAATCTGAGCTTAGATAAGGCTTTCTGGGAAAACAGGTGGGAGAAAAATGCCACTGCGCAGACGAGAGGAGAGGCAACGACCTTTCGGAAGTGAAAGGCCAAGTTGCTGCCCCTGCTGTCCTGGTCAGTGGGGAGGGGTGAGGCACTGGGAGCCAGGTAAGTGCCCTTCCCCCAGCACCCCTGTCTCTTATCTCAGGCCCCTGTGCTTTCATGTTAGGTTCCATCCATCTTCCTTTGGGCCCTTTTTTCCTGATGGGAGTACCTTGGGGAAAGTTAAAACTATTTGACCTTCATCTCTCCAGGAATCTCATCAGATATTCAGACTGCTTCAGCTAGATCTGGAGCTGAGAGTCGCTGCCCTGGGTGAACTGCAAGGTTTTCCACAGGAGTCCGAAGTAGGAAATGGACATCACCAAGTATGGTGCATTTGAAGAGAGGAAGCAACTTAGGGCAGCAGATGCTGGGATACCAAAGGTCAGTGGTCACAGGAGGACATGGCAGAAGGCACCGGAAAGTGAGGAAAGCATGGAGCTGGGGGTGGGGGGAAGACGCATCACTCCTGTTTACAATGAAGGCAAAAGCCCCCGGGTTAGGAAGCAGTGTAGGTTTACCATGAGGCGGCGTTGGAAGACTCCTGGCAGCACGTGGACCATAGCTGGCTGATGTGTGAAGCAGACAGCCAAAAGCCCTCTCAGGAATAACCAAAATTAGCACCAAGCTAGAAATCCAGCGTAGTCATGCTCCATCCAGGCAGAGCTAATGAAGGACACTGTATCTCACCCTATCTCACCCTCCAAATTCACGCAAAATATCACACTCAGACATTTGGGGATGGAAAGGACTCACAACAAAATGTGTTCCCTATTTATTGCCGTCTTTTATTTTCACAGTAAAACTAGAGGAGAGTATGTTGCTGAGCATATAGCCATTAAAAGAATACAACCAACAGTTGGAAATTGAACTAAAAAAATCTGAGTTATAGCCTGAAACATACTAACACTTACTAATACCCCACAATGGATCCATATATTAGAAGCAATGTCTATCTTCAGTTTTATTTCCTCCTGGCTTACTAAAATCCATTATTTTATTACTTTGTGTATAATGTTGCACTGCCTCGTAATTTTCCCAAATTCATCCTTTTTCAAATTTTAAAGGGAAGGCCTGTCATTCCAACTTTCTATTATGTAACAAACAGGTTTAGAATTTTCCCTGTTCATGCTCTTCTTCCATATAATTGAGACTCAGTGCAAATCTGTTTGCACGTTGATGAAGATATTTCAAGGACCATGAATGCTATGAAAACATCAATGCTTCCCCCATAGGGCTTGAGGTTTGCGTTTTTAAAGTGCCACTTTTCTCTAGTCATTATGGGACAAAATAGGAGAATAAGGAGGGTCTTTTATTTCTACACCAAGGCTGGCATTGGACTGAATCTCAGCAACATTTTCCTGTTTGGGAATCATAAGCTCTTCTCTGATTCTGTGAAAATTATGCACAAAGTTCTGGGGTTTCTAGGGTATGAGGTACAAGGAATGTGCTTTCCTTTGCTATTACTCAGCAACTCGAGGCTATTTGTAACCATAGCACATCCATTTGAATTTAGCTATTTAACAGAAATGGAGACATTTACTTCTCTCTCTAGGCACTTCAGTTTTGTCAGGTGACAAGAAATACTGCCATGGCCCTGTTGTGGAGGCAAATTGAAATTGCAAGACTTGAACTCGAAAGAGCCTTTAGAAATGTTTTATTGGAATGTTATTTTTCCACCTGAAGCTGACTGATTCTGCTTCTCAGAAATGCAATTATCCATGTGTTACAAACTGCTCCTTTTATCTCTGTTGTAAAAACCAGTTCAGTTCCCTTTAGGACTCCTCTTGGCAAAGCATGACATTAAATGTTGATCTGTTTATTATCATGGAGTCACTCTTTAGGGAGAGAAAGAAAGGTTTGCGAGAAAAACTAGAGTGGTGACTAAAAGAATGATCGGCCCAGCATTAATTAGAATGTGGCTTTTAGACCTGGTGAGACACACCCTAGCTGTGACTGATTCACTTTCTCTGAAGCCAGGAACCTCAGCATGACTGACAATTTTGTTGGAATCATTCTTGGTTATGGGGTCTCTCTTGTGCATTCCAGAATGTTCAGCAAAAGATGCTGGGAGCACGAGATGCCAGGAGCACCCCACACTCCTCAGCCTCTGAGACAACCCAAAATGTCTCTGGATATAGCCGCGGGACACAAAATCACCTTTTGTTGAGAACCACTGTCTTAAGACTTAGTTCCCTCATCTGTAAAGTGGAACTAAGGAGAGGGGAGAGTTGCTGTTGTTGGTTTAAGGTGAAATAATGCATTCGAAAGGGTAGTCTAAGTGAATATAGCATTATTATTTTATAGACATGTATTCATTCATACATTGGACTTAAGATATCTTTATCGGGAACGGGAGATTCAGCAGGCCTCCGCAGGCAGAATATGATGAGGGTGTTTAGGAGAAATGTATCCCCTTTCTAAACTGAAAAATCAAGAGTTAAGAATTTACACACACATCAATGTTTTTAACCCCTGCATAACCAGCTAAAGAGAGGATTAGAGTGCCAATCGCAGATGTGATCCAAATTACCATTAAGGTTTATTCTAGCTTTGAAGATCCTTTGAAAATATGAAAATTAGAGTGGGATGAATACTTCTAGAATAATAAATATCCATGCTCTAGAAGCTTATTAATCTCCCATTATTAGAATAAAATTAACTTGCCCTGAACTCGTCTAAGTTATTTGGCGACTGTATACACTGAGTGACCTCTGAAGCGAACTGCTCAGAACAAAGCTGTAGATCTTTTTGGATATTCTGTTCATAGCCAACACTTTCTAAGAAGAGGGAAGGAGTTGGTAGGCATGGCTTTGGAGCAGACACCTCAAAGGAAGGATGGCTAAGATGTTCCGATCAAGATCAAAGCCTATTGTTTAGTGTAGCTAAATGGATAAAATAAATGTGAAGCCAAGTTCATGCACAGCAAAATGAGCAAAATATAGGGGAAGAAATGAATGAATATTCCTGTCCTTGGAAAAACTTAAAGACTACTGACTCTAGATCTTTATACATTTTACTTCTCACACTCCTAGGAAGTGATAGAAGTTTGAAGGTTTTCCTGGAGTGTTTCTGTAGTCATTAATTTTTAAAATAATTTGAACGCAAGTACCTATGTGTAAGAAGAGATTCTTTGCACTCAGTTCTGTTCTTTTATTATTTCTTCCACACACAAAAATGAAGGTTGCTGAATGCAGTTGTTAAATGCAGTTGCTTCTTTGTGCAAGCCACTTTTGCATAATGCCAAGCAAACACTTACAAAAGAGTCAGAAGTACAAAAAAAATGAGTTAAAAGAAATGATGAGAAGTATTTAAAATGAGTATCTTGTTGCAGCTAGTGATGATTCAAGTAGAACAAAACATTGGGAGATTGAGGGCTCAGACTTGAAGGAAATCAACTGGAAAAAGGCAACCTGGATTTACTTAACTCCTGTAAATGCAATATTAACAAATAAATCCTAAGATTTGGAGCAATGACAAAATATCTAAAAACTTGAGATTTTTTCCCTCCATTTTAATCCTGTATTAGGCTTCTCGAGAATTATTTACATCACCTGATGCAGCATCTATGCCAAATGCAAAATTGCACTGCATATTTTAGAGCAACTTTAGTTTCTTTGACTGACAACATTGGAAATGAAAAAGAATATTATTTTAGAGTGTCTGGTCCTTTATTTTGGCTGATAAAGAAAACTTCCATGAAATAGGAGACATTTTCCTCTTGGGTATAAACCTGTAATAAATGTTGCTGACAGACTAATTATAAATGTTTTATATATTTCGTGCATATGTGCTCCTCTCTAAACCAATTTAATTCCCATTAATGCTAATCTTGTTAATACCCACTCAGAGAGGAAAGAAATGCTCTTAATAAACTATTGATTTATTTGAGCAATTTAAATAGGGGATGTAAAGAACAGAAGGCAGAAGAGGAAAAGCCACCATTTTACTCACATCTGCATTTCCTAGAATATTTTCCAAATACTAATGAACTTTAGGTTATAATTGGTATGAATGGGAAATGGTGAAAAAATAAAGTGACAAAATGATAGTCCTCCACCCATCAAAAATAAGAGCATTGTAAACAAATTGCTATATTTTTTTTAGTATTAGCTCCAAGGTTAGAAGCGAGATATTATAAAGACGGTAGATTTTCTTTACTTAGAAAAAAGTTAAAGAAAAATGAGATTCACACTTGTATGAGTATTTTATCTTGCCCTATTCCTAACGTGGCTGGAGATTTTGTCCTTATACAAGAATCTAATAATTTCTCTCAAATTCAATCAAGCATCAACCAGTCAAGATTTCCCTATCTCAGGATACATTAATCAGCCAAGAGCCAAGACTGGGTCGTGCCCAGGTCTGAGTGGTTTCCTTGAACACCATTTAATGAGCCTGGGTGCCGTCAGGGGAGAACTTGGAAAGCAATAGAAAACCCTCTCTATCCCTTTCTAAATCATCCAAAAACTAGCTAACCATGTCAAAAGGTGCGGATGTCTATCTTCCCATTCTCCTGGGAAAAGTGGCATGAAAGAGGAAACAAGTGGAAGATTGAGTTTTGTCCAGGGTCCACCAGCTGGCCTTAAAATAAGTCATTTAACTTCCCTGAGACTCAGTTTTCCTTATCTGTAAAAAGGGGATAAAAACTTCTGCCTACTATACTCTTACACCATATAGTAGTATAAGCATTGAAAAGATGTAGTTGAAAGCACTATGAAAACTGTGAAGTGGTCTACCTACTGTGTTACGAACTGGAAAATGATTTAAGAAAAAGAGGCACAGGAAAAAAGAAGAAAAACAAACATAAGGGCAGATATCAATTTTATCAGGGCCTTGTATTTAAACAGAGAGAGAGAGATGTTTACCCTCAGGATCTTCTTAAAATATTTTAATGGCAACTGATGCGTATACTTTATGACTGGGTATATAGAACACAAAATAAAAAATGAAAACTGAAAGTATTTTAGATGAATGAAGTTTTTCTTTTCTGTTTATCCAAATGTTTGGTGTTGGTTATACATTGAGATGGGATGGGGGCAAGGATGATCTCTTAACATTCATTGAACAAAATACTGAAACAAATACTTTGAGCACAAATATTAAACTGTCTTTTCTCTACCGATTGGTAAAAAAATATATTATATTTTGATATTATTTTTTCTTTTTAAATTATGTGGTTATCCGTCCCAGCCGAAGTCGAGCCCGGTCATCTGGTAGAACTTGCGGTTGAGCGGCCGGTAGAAGTCGCGCAGCCTGCGCAGCACGTCGCCGTCGATGTCGGGGTGCGGCCGGCCCTTGGTCTTGCCCAGGCAGTGCGGCCGGCCGCTGCCCTCGGCCTTCTTCAGGCAGGGGAAGCCCTTGGTCTTGTTGAAGTAGAAGTGCTTGTCCGTGATGATCCTCTTGAGGCCCAGGAAGTCCTGCACGCGGCGCAGCTCGCCGGCCGGGTCGCGCACGAGCCGCTCGCCGCTCACGAAGAGCATGCGGCCGAGCGGGAAGTGGCGCAGCCAGTGCTCCAGGTGCTTGGCGTACAGGCCGATGTGGATGGCGCTCCACGCCGTGTCCACCAGGCCGGCCGTCCTGTTCCGGAACGTCAGGCTCTCGAAGCTGGGGATGTCGGGCCGCTTGGACAGCGTCTGCGCGTAGTCGGACACGGCCCGCGTCACCGGGTCCCGCACCACCACGATGAGCTTGGTGTCCCTGGACATGGCCGCGATGCGCGCGGGCGCCTCCCGCGTCACGAAGTAGCTGGGCGTCTTCTCCATGGTGATCTGCCCCTCCAGGGTTCTGGGCATCAGGTCCCTGGAGGAGCAAACAGAGCACGGGGTCAGCAGGTCGTGCCCTTTGCCCCGCCTCCCAAGGCCGGCGCTTCCGACCCCGCCGCCTCCCACTGCCGCGCTGCAGACACGTGCGGGGCCGCGAGCAGCGCCCGGGGCCGCTCTGCAGACACGTGCGGGGCCGCCGGGCCGTAGCGTCCGCTGAGGGCGGCAGGGCAGACCCGCCCGCCTGGACGCGCAGGCAGCTTCGCGCAAGCTAGAAGGAGCGAGACGCGCGTTTCTCTAAGGTCCTCCTGCGGGTCCCTGAGGAAAGCAAGAAGGCGAGTCGGAGCCTGGAGAACAGCGCCTTCCCGACTGCGCAGAGAGCTCCCGGCACGCAGAGGCCGCGTGCACGCAGCCTGCAGCCACACCGCCCGCGCTGCAATCTTAGCTCCCACTTGCTGGCCGTGGGAAAGTCGCATAACCACTCTGCACCTCGGGTTCCTCGCGTACTGAATGGAGAATAATAATACTACCTATCTCATATGATTGTTGTGATGATTAAATGAGTTAGTATACCTCAACAGCTTAGAAAACTGCCTGGCACCCGATAAGTACTATGTTAACTTTTAATGTTTTGATTATTATTAATCCACAATGCTATAAGAAAATCACCTTGGTCAAATTCTTTAGGTGAATTAGAATATTGTCATAAACATAATTATAGTGCTATGAGCTAGTATTAAACTGAGCCCTACCTGTAGTTTTCTTATAAACTAAGTAATTATGTTTAACATACTATTATAGCATATTATTATACACAACATACTTATCTTCATAATTCCTGATAAATTTTCCTGTAACAAATACATTAAATAATTCACCTTTTATCTAATGATTTGAAATACCATCATTATCATATTCTAAATATTTTGATTCATTTCTACATTGGTCCAATTATAAGTTATTATCATGTTACAGTGTATTTTCATGTATGTCAAAGTAAATCCCAACTCCATAGTGTTCAACCTGTTCTTGACCATTTCTGTCTGTTTATTCTTCCTGATGAATGGTAAATCATTTAGTTATGTTAAAAAAAAATCCCACTGGAGCCTTGATAAAGCAGATACTGCTTCTCTATTCAAGCATGCTTTCCTACTAATGGGCCTCAAGCCAAAGTATGAGCAGGAGAGAGAAAACCTATTTGCTCTTCCAACCTAAGTATACTGCCATTAAATGCACTATTCATTACATACATTTTCCAATACTAAGGCATTATCTTTCTAATTCCAATTTTTGTAAGAAATATAATAGATATGGCTTGGATGGATATTAGAGTAAATGTATTTTGGGACTTTATCACAATGACAGTGTATTTTGTCCTTTGATCGATGGATAAGAAGAATCAAACTTTTAGATATTCTTATATTGGATTTGCTTTTATTCTTGGAATAAACTCCATTTGATGGTAGTATATTTTATATACCATACATTTAATATACCATGCTAAACTTGATTTGTCATTATTTTGTTTTGGAGTTTCTATGCATATTCATAAATGAGACGTTCCTGTAGTTTTTCTTTTGTTCAATAGTTTAATCAATTGTTAGAATCTGAGTTATTTCATGAAGAAAAGAGGTTGAGAAATGTTTCGTATTTTTGTGTTCTATAGAAGTTTAAGTACAAAAATAATTTTCTATTCCTGTGGAGTTTGATGGGAATCACCTTCAAAGCCATTTAATACTGGCACTTTTGGGAGTGAGGGTAGGAAGGGATGTGTGATCTTCAAATATCTTTTCACTTTCTTGTACGCATATCAGTCTGTTATAATCCTCTGTCTTGTGTCAATTTTGGCAATTAATAGTTTTCTAAAAATCATCCAGTGAATAGCTACGGTTATAGTTATATCCCTTTAATTTTGTGTTTTTGCCTTTATTTCTGCCTTCTTGGTTAGATGATCTTTTCTAATCCATTTATTTGCATTTTATCTTTCTTAATGTCCTCCCCCTTATTTATTTTTTTAGCTATGCTTTGTTGTTCTCCTTCAAACGTATTTCACTGAATGCTTGCTTCATCTATTTTCAACCTCTCTTCTCAAGTAGTGAAAGCATTTTGAGGCTGTTATTTTCCCTCTAAGTACAGACTGGCCAAATTCCGTTAAGTTTTGACATATACTGTTGTCATTGTCATAACTTTGTGGACATTTAGCAATTTCATTTTGTAATTCTGATGTCCCTTTTGATGCAGGCATTATCTAGGGTTGTATTTATTTTTAATTATGATGGTTGATTTGTTATTTTTGTTCATGATTTTGTGGTTACTTTCTATTTTGCATTTGTGATAAAAGGACAGGCTTTGTGTACTGTGAGTTTGCCTTTGTTGGTTCCCTACAGTTTTACCCCCCATGCTATTTGCTAACTATATATATTGTCAACAAAGTCAAACATACACAAAAGTAGAAAAAACGTAAAATGAATCTGAAGTACTTTACATCCAGCTTCAAAAATGCATAACTGATGGCCAATTTCATCCATAAACCTACCCATTTCTTGTCCCTACCAGACCAACTGGATTATCTTAAAGTCAGTTGCAGACATCATCTAATTTGATTTGTGAATATTCAGCTCCCATCTGCAGTGTATCTGGCACAAATTCTTTAGTCTTTGTGGCAACCTGGTGGCACTGTGGCTCCCTTAGTTTTAATGATGTGGGTTTTCTCCTATTATTGTTTTCTCTGGTAATTTCAGTCAGGTTATCTTTGCTTTATTTGGGAGAGAAAGTGATAATTAGACATTTGACTTCTGTGGCTCTTTTTTTTATTTTTTAAAGAAATTTGCAATTCCTATTTCAAAATAATGTTTAACGTACCTTTTCCCCCATCCCTTAAATATACCTGGAGGTCTGGGTAAGAGTAAGGGAAGACCAGAGAGTTTGGTGCTGCCACAAGGGAGACACTAACTGCCACCATGCCACACCCATTCCACCGTGAGACATGAGTTCACAGAACTCATCTCCGGGTGACCCCAGTCATAGAACAGACAAGCTGGCTAGGCCAACCTAATTTGGAAGGGTGGGTTATCCTTGGGTAAGATGAGCCAGGAGATCTATCCAGAGACTGTAGGGATTTCTCAGCGGAAGAAATCTGATCAAGTATGTGGCAAAGTTTTGGGCTGTAAAAGCAAACACCAAATACACGAAAGTGTATTTGTTTGATTGTTTTAAAAGTCAGCATTCCTGTTTCCTTTCCTACAATCTTGGACTTTTTACTACTTTTCTTGAATTTTGGCCAGTAGAATAGAGACAGCATACTTTATGTGGGAGCTTCTGCTCGGGCGTCTCTGGGCTGGGGGAGGGTGCCCAGGGCCTTCTCAGAGGCTGGAGCTCAGATCGTGCTGGGCCAGAGCAAACACCGCTAGGGCCTCTCGGGGGAAAATCCCCTATTTTAAATAATTTCAGTGAAGTAGGGAAAAGAGCTATCCAAAAAAAGAGGCGTTTCATGAGGAAACAGCTAAAATAGAATTTCAAAACAAAAACACATTAATGATTGTCACCTGCAGGGGGAGGAAAACTGACTGAAGCGTGGGTGGGGCTGGGGAGTCAGCTTTAACTACAAGCTGCCTGAAAGCTACTTTTTGCAAAAAGAAAGAAGCGACAAATGAAAATCTTAATAAAGCTTACGTTGTAGAGAATGGTTGCTTTGCAAAAGAACTCACAACAGGATTCCTTAAATTGCAATCTCCTTTTAAATTTCCTTATACATTTTCTTACTGCAATTTGGGTTTTCATGTTGAAAAAACTGCTCATCTATCACATAAAACAGAATGTACATGTGAATTAGAACACTGCATTTCAAAGTGTCTAGCTCGAACTTGGACATTGCTCTTCCTTACCAGCATAAGGTACACACTGTGACTCTGCTCTGTGTAAGGGCTTCGGCTCGGAATGGGCAGTGAGACATCTACCCCGCTGTTACATAATAAAAGGCTTGTAGAAACCCCGAAGGTCTGTGCAATGAGAAGACACATGAGGTTTGCCTGAAGAAAGATGAGCTGACAGTGGGGAGAGAGAAATTCAGCTGGATGGTGGGAGGGACAGATCTTAGCAGGACTTAATTTCCAGACTAAGCATAGTAGACTATTCCAACTTCACTTCTAAATAGTGAGCAAGATTTAGAGATATTTACAGTAGGTATGGGGATGGGGAAATGGGTAGAAACCAATATTATAAGGAAAAATTAGAGAAGCTTATTTGTTTTGTCTTGAGGAAGACAAGGGTGAGAAGGGATTTCACAAGCAAATTAAGGATTATTATGAGGTAGTTTCTGCACGTTTGCTCTTCCTCTTCAAAGAACTCAAAGACAATTCACAATAGCCCCAAAATGGAAGCAACCCATGTGTCCAGCAACCCATGTGTCCATCAATGGAGGAATGGATTAAAAACTGTGGTTCATGCATACAATGGAATATCATTCAGTCTTAAAGGGGAGGGAATTTTGACACATGCTGCAACATGGATGAACATTGAAGACAGGAAACTGTACTGAGTGAAATATGCCAGTCACAAAAGGACAAATATTGTATGACTCCACTTACATGATGTATCTGGAGCAGTCAAATTTACAGAGACAGAAAGTAGAAGGTTGCCAGGGGCTGTGGGGACAAGGAACAAGGAGTTGTTGCTTAATGGGTACAGAGTTTTAGTTTCATGAGATTAAGAGTTCTGGAGACCGACTGCATAACGATGTGTATGCACTTTACATGACTGAACTTAAAAATGGTTAAGTTGGTAAATTTTATGTTGTGCATATTTTACCACAATTCTTTTAAAACAGAACTTAGGACAAGCCCTTCAATGGCAATGATAGAATTTAGTTAGACAAAAGAGTCTTTCTGGGCTTATGGATAATTAAACATTAAAACAAGGTACTACTGAAGGAGGCAGTGGTTTTGCTTTCCTCTTGCTAAACTAAAAGGGAAATACAATAATTTATGAGATTTTGTGAAGCTGATCTGAAATCAAAAGGGGGGTTTGTGGTCTGTGCCCCCT